CCAAGGGTTTTACCCAAATTTACCCCTACGGCAAATGTTCACTTTTAAAATAAGATTTAGTTTTTAGGGGTGGTAATAAGTAAAAATTTCGTTCGGTTTTTAACCCCGGGGTAGCCCCCCCGGTAACCCAAAAAGCAGTGCGCACGAACTTTAACTTATTTCCCTTTTGGGGCCCTAATTCTTTCCCCCAAACCCCAACCTACAAAACACCCATTACCTTTTTCCCCCCTATAAAACAACTTAAAAATTTTCAATTTTCCCCCCCCCGGAACAAACCCCCCCCCCCCCGGGACTTTGCCCCCCCGGGGTAAATACTCTTATAGGTGATTTTATTTTATTGGGTTTTTGAATACAGCAGGTGGGGGGCCCTGCCCGGGGGGCCCAACCAGACCCCCAAACCTGCGGGGGGAGGGACGGACTTTTTTCCCTCGAAGGATGTTGCTGCGTTAGTAAGGGGGGGCGGGTGGTGTGAGGTCGCTAAAGGCAGGCCTATGGCCCCAGACAGTACACAGGTCATAGGGACAGCTTCCCTAGCGGTAGTCCGGGAAACATGTTTGGGTAGGATACTCAGCTATAACTCATCTATATTCTTTTTTAAAACCCAATATTTCCTTTTTTTTTTGTAAATCTAAATTTATCGAATTGAATCCGTTATTTCGAGAGGGGGGGGGGGGGGGGTTGCCTGGGGGGTTTCCCTCCATGCTCAATTTACGACCCAAACATGACTTGTGCTTCAGGGTGAAACCACTTCCTCCAGAGATTTATCTCCAAATTTTTGGGTTTTTCAAATCACGAATGTGTGGAAAAAAATCTCGTTTTTTAAGGAGGGGTATCTCTCAGCCCCCCTTTAGCCCCGATAAGTAAATAAGTTTTTCGGTATACACAAATACGTTACTAGAATTTCATGAAAATTAAATGGATAAAATACCGCTTTTTGGGAAGACAATATGCAAAAAGTTAGTATTTTATTTCGAAAAGTTTTGCCCAACATAGGCTTTTTTCAGTCAGTAAAGAAAAGTTGTTAAAGCGAAGATATTTAAGACGATTAATCAGTCCATTTACCCTTAAAGTTTTGAGGGGTCAGCCTCGTCTGGGGAAGGTTGTTCCCTTGTCTGAAACAATATAAAATTGAAGTGACAGATGGAGCCTTATATAGTGCCGGGAGGTGAGACTTAGGTTGCTTTGGGAGGGCAGTTCCCTCTCAAACCCAGCCGTGTTGTTTTGCAGTGTCTCTTGGTACAGACCTTCAACTTCGACAACCTCTACTAGTTGAGAAGGGGCTGGGTTTGAGAGGGACCTGCCCTCCCAAAGCAACCTAAGTCTCACCTCCTGGCACTATATAAGGCTCCATCCTGTCACTTCAACTTCATATTGTTTCAGACAACGGAACAATGCTCTTCTCCAGACCGAGGGACTGACCACCTCAAAACTTTAAGGGTGATGGACTGATTACATCGTCTTCAAGTATCTTCTGCTTCTATCAACTTTTCTGTACTCGACTGAAGAAGCCTACTGTGTAGGCGAAACGTTTCGAAATAAAGATACCTAACTGTTGCATATGTGTCTTACCTAACATAGAATTATCATACATAGCAGCATATGTGTAGAGAACCTGGGATAACCCAAAAAAGTCAGACACAGTGACTTACTTCCATTAGACCCCTTGGAGGGGGTTAAGTAGACATTTCTACTTGCCGGAATTCTGAGCAACAGCACCATGACGTTAAATCTGTGTAATTGCTCATAACCTATAGCAGGCAAATTACCTGGAAACCTGTGCGCCACTTGACCTACAAGTTGGGGACATTATAACTTCTAGTCCACAGTTTGGCAACAAGAAACTGCCCTCTTGTGTTAGTCTGTTGCAAAGACTGGAAACGAATATTTATAAAGCTGAAGTCAGCACTTGCTTTGTAAGTATGAGGAGCCGAGGGGCTCTATGCAGGGCTGCGAGCTAGATCGACTTACGGAATCAGAGGGTGAATATATCACAATCTGCGGAAAACAGAGACAACAGTGAAGCTGTGCGTAAACTGAAATACTATTAATGTCCACTAGGAAATTTAACTAGTGTTAACAGTACAAACATGAGTGTAGTGATCCCTGGTATGAACCATGATAAAGTGTGTTTTAACATGTTTTGCAGTGTGCATTCAGGCATAAGTGTACACAAGGGAGAATTATTATTATTATAATCAAGGGGGAAGCGCTAAACCCGGAGGATTATACAGCGCTTAGGGATGGGGGAATGTGGAAGGCATTCAGACTTAATTCGGGGAACTGAAGCACAGAACACAAGGGAGAAAATCTCTCTCTCTACCGTGAATAACAAATGGTGTTTAAAATGACTGATGTGTCACGAGTGACAGAACATTATGATGTATCTGTGGAAGCAGCCTATCAAGACATCCCCTACAACAAGCTAATGAAATTTGGGTCAGTTACAATACCCAGGTAAGTCCCGTCATACTCAATCCCATATTTACCTATTAGCTGCAGCTAATAGGTAGATATAGGATTTGATTGGGGTTACTAATAGATGCTGTGACAGAAGGACTTGATGCCCAACAACAGTGAGCACTTATCACATTTTTAAACAAATGTGAAATGTTAGAAATATATGCTCCTTTGGGGCAAATTTTAATTATTGTTCTATAGCTAAAGTGCAGGGTTACCTTAGCTCAGTCAAAGGAGACTCCTTGATCCATGGCTGCAAGAAATCTGAGCTGTTCACAGAAGCTAAGTACCTTTCAGTTTGTCAGAAAGTAAACTTGGCTGGTAAATTTATCGCATAACTTTTGGTCCTTTGAACTGGATGAAGCCTCAGAGTGGCTCAAGAACACTGTTAAAAATTGACTCTTGAAATCGTAATGACATGATTGCAACCAAACCATACCACAGGCGGGGATAGAACCCGCGATCAGTCTCTCATGAAACTCCAGACTGATGTGCTAGCCACTGGGCCAGCTGGCTACTACAACAATTCCTCCAACTAGGTATAATTATACATCATAGGAAAGTTGGCATAGCCACCACTGTGACTACTACAAATGCAAGTTTTTACAGACGAATCTCCTGCCAGCGTGGCCATGACTAGCTCTAGCTAAAGTCCCCTCAAAGCCACCATCATGACTCATGAAATCGTAATGACACGATTGCAAATAACCATACCACGGGAGGGGATAGAACCCACGATCAGAGAGTTATAAAACTCCAGACCGATGAGCTAGCCACTGGGCCAGCTGGCTAAAGAGATTCGTCTAGCTAGGTAGTCACGGCCACTCTGGCAGAAGATTCGTCTGTAAAAACTTGCATTTGTGGTCACAGTGGTGGCCTGTGCTAACCTTCCTATGGTGTATAAATATACCTAGTTGGACGAATCTTATTGTAGCTAGCTGGTCCAGTGGCTAGCACATCGGTCTGGAGTTTTGTGACTAGGTTAGGTTAAATTAGGTTGGATTAGGTCAGATTAAGTTAGGTTAAATTAGGTTTGGCAACACTAACTACAAGCAAATGAGTGTTGTATACCCCCTAGTTAGTTAAGACATACCATCTTTCTTCTGTACAAGGCCCAGCCAGACTGAGTTTCTGACGTGATGCATCGCCATCAGTAATAACTGCACTTCACCCTCCGAGTGTACTGATACCAGGTTACTGTGCTCCTGCAGGCAGCTGTAAAGAAGACAAATTAAACTTTGTATAGGAAATGAAGGAACGTAGAGAGGCTGTCATGCAGGATACTGTATTCCGTACAAAAATGTGAGGTGCTTGTATTATGGCCAAGAAGTGTGTCATAAATGTGTAAATACTGTCAGTGCTCAAGAGAACGTGTATTAGACATGTTCAATGGGACGCGTATTAGATGTGAACAACTCAATGAAAGGTGTGGGGTTATTAGGCAGTTAGTTACTGGGATAGTGTTATGGACCTAGCTCGAGTATTTCAACAAACCGGCCATATCCCACCGAGGCAAGGTGGCCCAAAAAGAAAAACAAAAGTTTTTTTTAACTTTAGTAATATATACAGGAGAAGGGGTTACTAGCCCCTTGCTCCCGGCATTTTAGTCGCCTCTAACAACAAGCTTGACTTACGGAGGAAGAATTCTGTTCCACTTTCCCATGGAGATTTGTATACGTTGTTGTATAGAGCATATGTGTACTTTTGTCAAAAGCGAGTTTATCTCACCTCCCCGTTGATGATCAGTCCTCAATTATTCTGTGTAATTTACGAAGTTGAGTGGGTTAAGGTTGGTTTAAATTTAAATAACCTTGTGTTTATATAGAGACAGGTATCTTACACCCCCCTAACCTCCATCTTTACTTCGTAACAGAGGAAAAGTAGGAAGGTAGTGACTGTATCCTCAACCAGTCACCAGTGACTGTACCCTCAACCAGTCACCAGTGACTGTACCATCAACCAGTCACCAGTGACTGTACCATCAACCAGTCACCCTGACTTTTAAATCAACCATCCCCCATGACTGAAAAATCAACCGTCACCAGTGACTGTTTCCATCAACCAGTCACCGTGACTGTACCATCAACCCAATCACCAGTGACTGGGACCATCAACCAATCACCATGACTTACCCTCAACCAGTCACCAGTTTACTGACCATCAACCCCTCCCATGACTGGGGACCATCAACCGTTTACCAGTGACTGTATCCTCAACCCTTTCCCCTACTGTATCCTCAAACCAGTCCCCCAGTGACTGTACCAAACAACCAAGGGCCCCATTTACTGTTCCATCAACCCGTCACCAGTGACTGTACCATCAACCCTCCCCCAGTGACTGTAAAAAAAAGTTCAGCACACCATTTTTTTTCACCAATCAACAATTCCAGGGACACTGAAGGCAGGTTAGGGAGGATTTTTTCTAGCAGTGTTAAAGCTTTTGAAATGGAGGAAGACTTTGGGGAAAACGTTTTAATAGCTTATAATACCGGGCAGGTTAATAAAAACAAACACATGTACAACATTTGTATATCCGTAAAGTTTCGCCCCACAAAGTAAAACTTCTTCATCGAGTACAGAAGAGTCAGCAAAAGTAGTTTGGGAAAAAGTAAAGGCTTTTAATCATCCCGTCAACCCCTTAAAAACGTGTTTTTAGGTGGTCCCGTCCCTCCCCGGGAAGAAATTTTTCTCCCGTCTGGAAAATTGTTCAAGGGGTTTTTGGAAAAAAAAAACTTAATATTGGAAAGGCATAGAGGGAAAACTCTTCTCCGGTGAGGGACGACCCCTCCAAACTACGTCTTCAAGGGTGACTGACTGATTTTATCCCTTTACAGCTCCAAATACTTTTGTGACTTTTTCTGTAAATCGGGTGAAGAAGTCTATGTGTAGGGCGAAACGTTACGGAAAAAACATAAACCCAATTGTTGCCCCTGTATTTTCTTATCAATACTAGGGTAGGCCTACTGGGGCCCCACTGGTCTTTTGTGCTCTGTTTCGCTTTTTTGTCTGTCAATTTTGAAGGGCATCCCTACGGCCCCTGGATAGCATAAACAGGGGATATCATATATTGGTGGGGGGTTTGATATAAACTTCCAGTTTTCATCTCCAAAGGGTTTGTTTTCCCCGGAGGGCGAAGTTCAGTGCCCCTCCCAGGTCAAGCCAAGGGGATTTTCAGGGCAGGACCCGTGACTGGAGGGTTTAGGGGTCAAACTGACCTGTGGTACAAAAAGATATTTTTAAAATTTTTGTCTAAACTATCATTATTTTATTATTTTTTATTATGGGTTTTAAGGGTTTTTCCTTTAATTTAAAATACTAATTATTATTTTCATTTTCATCATTTTATTTTTAAAACACTAAACTTCATTGTAACTCAAGACACAAATTTCCCGTCAAGGAAGTCATCAATTTTTGGGGCCATAGGATAGATTGGGCTGTGTTGTTCTCTCAACTACCCCCCCCCCGGGGGACCCGAAGATTCCCCCCTTTTTTTAAAAAAATGAAATAAATCCGGGGAATGGCGAGGCTTGAAAACCCTACAAACGATCCCAAACTCACAGTAGTTTGAGGTTTAATCCCCCAACCCGGGTAGGGTGGCCCCAGCATCATACTCCCAAACTTGACCTTTTTGACATAAAGGCCCCGCACTTTCCCCTATTTCAAATTTGCCCAACAAACCCGGGGTTTCAGTACGTCACTATTTTGGAAAAACCCAACCCCATCAATAAGACCACTGGGTACTGGAGTACCCAGGAAGGGTCCCTTGGTCCCCTCTCTTCCTCTTAACATCAAAAGATCAAACCCTTTTGTATAAAACATGTCCTCTCCCACTATTTTTAACGAATAACAGTTTAAAAAATTTACCTGGTGGCTGTAAAAACTTCCACTTAAATACCCCAAACCCTTTTATTCTGTTTTGGACAAAAAGATGCTGGGCCCCCGCATAAAGACTGACAACCCCTTATTGTTAAAACATAAAGAGGGCAAAATTTCCCGGGCCCACACCTTTGACAGCAACTAAATTCAAAACCCCTGCCCACAAATAAACAAAAAAAAAAAATACCCCCCAAAAAATTTTGGGGTCCTCTCTAAAAAACGTTACTACGTACCACAATCAGCACTACTTTCCCCAAAAACAAATTCCCCCTTTTTCTCTCCCTACCTCAAACCTTTTTTATTTGTGTGGGAAACCCAAAACCCCAAAACACCCTTTCAATAATAAACCAACAAAAAAACGACAGGAAAAATATCCAAAAGTCCACTGCAAGACGGGCCCCCCCCCCCCCTTACCTTCAAAAAAACCTAAACCCGGCCAAAATTTCCCCCCGAGGCAGGTGGCCCCAAAAAAAAAACCAAGTTTCTCTTTTAAAATTTAGTAATTTATACAGAACTTCACACCTACTATTGTACAATCTACATTTTTCCAAACCCTAAAAATCTACTTTTTAACCCCGGAAATAAAATAATTTCTTTATGGGGTAAAAGGAAATTTGACAAGACAAAAAAAAACTTTACATTCCCCGTGTCCGGCTAAACCCATACAAAAATTCATGAAAATAAAAGGGGGCCCAAAAATCAGGGAAAAATACTGACAGCAACCACCCTTTTCCCAAACAACCCTTGAAAAAAATTTTCCCTAAAAAAACCCCCCTCCCCTCAACCCAACCCAAAAGAAAAAACCCAACCCTTCTCTGTTTTGTATCCTGAACCCCATCCAAAACCAAATTTGGGAAATTTCCCCCCAAATTTTTCCCTACAATTTACCCGGGGTGATTGTAAAAATACAATACCTAAAAATAATTATTGTCTACCTTTCTTTGTTAGTCAAGTTTTTTCCCAAATACTCTTCCAATACTAAATTTTATATTTATTAAAATTTAAAAAATTTGACTACTAATTTTTTTTTAAAACCCAATTAATTTTTTAAATTAAAAATTAATTGGGTTTTTAAAATTTAAATATTTTTAAAAATTTTTAAATTTTTGGCCAATTTTCCCAGGCTTGCCCACCTTAAAAAAAAGGGTTTAAAAACGGATCAAATATCCAATAAACCAATTAAAAAAAGTTTAAACCCAAGTTCCCCAAAGGGAAAAAGGTAAACCACACATTTTAAAAACCCCACAGAAAACCCACAGTAAAAAAACCACACAGTATAAACCACACAGTTAAACCCAGTTAAACCACACAGTATAAACCACACTGGGAAACCCACAGTATAAAAAACACGTGTAAACCCCACAGTTAAAAACACTTGGGAAACCCCCCAGTATAAAAACCCCAAAAGTAAAAACCACACATATAAACCCCACAGTATAAAACACAGTATAACCACAAATGAAACCAACAGTATAAAACCACACAGTTTAAAAAACCAAAAGGGAAAACCAAAAAAATTAAAAAAAACCCGTATAAACCACACCGAAAAAACCCAAGTAAAAAACCACACAGTATAAAAAAAAAACAGTAAAAAAACCCACAGTTAAAACCACACATATAAACCCCCACCGTATAAAACCAAAAGTATAAACCCCAAAAGTTAAACCACCCAGTATAAACCCCACAGTAAAAACCACACAGTAAAAAACCACACGTAAAAAACCACACAGTTAAACCCCCAGTATAAACCACACGATAAACCCCAAAAGTTTTAAACCCCCCACAGTTTTAAACCCCACAAATATAAACCAAACAGTTAAAACCCCACAGTATAAAAAACCCACAGAAAAAAACCCCACAGTATAAAAACACAGTTAAACCCTCAGTATAAACCAACAGTTTTAAACCAAAAACAGTAAAAAAACCCACAGTTAATTAAAAAAAAAAGTATTTTTTAACCCCCCCAGGGGGATAACCAACTTTTAAACCCACATTTTAACAAACCCCTGGGGGGTTAAACCCCTTTTAGAAAAAAAAACCCAGTTTAAAACCAAAACCCGAAACCCCAAAGTAGAAAACAAATATAAGTTAAAAAGGAAATAAATGTTTGTATGGTATGTTTTGACCCTGGTTGTGGGAAAGTAGTTTTTCAACTTTTTATAAATTTTAAAAAATTTTAAAATTGGGGAATGAATATGGTTTTTCAAGAGTTTTAGAATAAAAGTAAACCCCCAAATGTTTGAAAAAATGTTTAAAAAAAAATTATAATTTTTTTTATTTAAAATATTAAAAATGTAATAGTAAATAGTAATAAAAATTTTGTAAAATTTTTAGTAAAAAAGTAATTTGTGTAGCATAATAGTAAATTTATAAAAATGTAGTAGTAGACAAGTTTTAGTATTTTTAGAAAAGTAAGGGAAGTTTAAATAAATTTTAAAAAAAAAAATAATATTTAAAATAAACCCCCCTATTTTAATTAAATCATAAATTATAACCCCAAACATTAAATAAAATAATATATAAAATTTTGTTTAAAATTTAAGTTATAAAATTTATTAAAAATTTACCCCCTATTAAAAAGATAAACAAATAAGTGTTAATTGTATTAAAATGGTAATAAGTTAAAAGTTTTTAATTTGAAAAAATGGATGTTGAATTTATGTAGGGTTTATAAAAGGTTTACGTGAAAGTAAAGTTAAGGAAAGTATTTTTTTTTAATAGTAGTCAGTAGTTATTGTATTAGTCTTAAAAGGAAAATTTGGTATTAGAAAAGTAATAGTTAAATAGTAGTAAAGTAAAAGTGTAGTATTTGTAAATAGGGAAATAGTAGTTTTTAAGTAGTAGTTTAGTAATTTGTAATAGTAGTATAATATAGGAGTAGTAGTAGTAAAGAAATAGTAGTAGTAATAGTAGGGAGTAGTTTAGTAAATAAAATAGTAGTAATGTATTAATATAGATTTTAAAAGTAGTGTAAATAGAGTAAGTTAAATAGTAGTAATAGTAGTAATAGTATTAGTGTAATAGTAGTAGTAGTAATAGTAGTAGTAATAGTAGTAGTAATAGTAGTAATAGTAGTAGTAGTAATAGTAGTAGTAATAGTAGTAGTAGCAATAGTAGTAATAGTAGTAGTAATAGTAGTAGTAATAGTAGTAGTAATAGTAGTAGTAATAGTAGTAGTAGTAGTAATAGTAGTAGTAGTAGTAGTAGTAGCCAAGATTTAATCGTAAACACAGGTAAACTGGCTATGTGTACCAGTACTCAACCTGTATATTTAATAACCAGAGTTTGTTCATAACTAGTTCATAAACTAGTATTTAGTCACTTAGCCATAATACCAACTTTCCTCATAATTTGTAATATTTTACATTTAAGAATAAAACTAAGTCAGCCCGAAATACCTAGCCATGCTAAGCGTTCTAGTGGTACACTCTGTAATGCCTAGCCATGCTAAGCGTTCTAGTGGTACACTCTGTAATGCCTAGCCATGCTAAGCGTTCTAGTGGTACACTCTGTAATGCCTAGCCATGCTAAGCGTTCTAGTGGTACACTCTGTAATCACAATTTTACTACATGTAAACCAAACAATAACCAAATTTCTGTAAACTCAGCATTGTAATCCTTATAGAGAATAAACTTTGAATAACCTCAGACAACTCGCTCACAAATGTTGAAGATATGTCCAAGTATTTTATCCACAGTGGTATATTACCAACCATTCTCCATCAATACTGTGACTTTGCTCACTCTAAATAATGCATTACCACTTACTGTCTATATAAATAACTCATTATAATTGTAGCCAGACATACAGGTGTGTATAGTTCATTACTTTTGTAACTTGTTCACCTGTCAGAACTTTGTGGCCCAGTTCCTGGACCCATTATGTACCTCTGTAATGTTGAGGTACAGTCCCTGGATCCATTATGTACCTCTGTAATGTTGAGGTACAGTCCCTGGACCCATTATGTACCTCTGTAATGTTGAGGTACAGTCCCTGGACCCATTATGTACCTCTGATCTTTTGACTACCACCCAAAGGATGGTCATGGGATGCATCATCAAAATATTAACTTAACACTTTATAACATGAGAAAGTCACTGTGAAATTAAGACACATGTGCAACATCTGGGTATCTTTATTGTAGACGTTTCGCCCTCCAGTGGCTTTATCAATACAAATTCCAGGACATAACTTGAAGACAGTAGAACTATATACAGAAGATGAGGTAATCAGTCCCTCAACCTAGGAGTAGGTGCGAAGAGCACCGTAGTTACTGAAATGGGAAAACTTTGTGAATTAAGTTGGTCTTTGTCGTGGGTAAATCTAATAACACAAACTCACCCACCTTTGTTATATTTGCAGATAAATGGCTGGTGTCACTGCAGATTGGGGGTAGACCACAGACCATCGAGGGTGCTTACTCTGGTGCACTTGTGCTCACTGAGGCTCACATTAGGTTCTCCATCACCCCAGTGACTGTAGAATGATGGGTATCCATCCGTCCACCGAAACACATGACCATCCTACATTGGTAAAAAAAAACTAGTATGTGTGTTATATATATATATAATATATATATAATATATATATATATATATATATATATATAAATATATATATATATATATATATTATATATATATATATATATATATATAATATATATATAAAAATATCCAAGCCATAATCATACTATTTGAGAGACCTCACCCAGTGTCTGGCTGCTACCACGTTCATGATCTCTCGACCTGTCCTCCTGCGAGTAAATCTGTTACACAAGCCAGGCCAACCCAGGCCTGGGGAGAGGGTAACTTTACCTGCATGTAAAAAACCAAAGCCAGGCTTCCGTTAAGTTAGTTTCTTGCATCAAGCCCCCACATCATAGCGTCCTCTAGGGGTGTGGAGGGAAGCTAAGTGACCACCGTGACTTACACACGTCTTCTCTGCCTCCTGTACGAACATAACAAATATCCCTATGAATGTTTTGTGTTAACTACATTCACACTTACAAACACTACAGATTACAAACAATCACACTTACACTGAACAATCAATTACAATGTGATACCAGTGTTGCATCAACGTGTGTGTGTACTCACCTAATTGTGGTTGCAGAGTCGAGTCATAACTCCTGGCCCCCCCTCTTCGCTATGTTTCTCACCTAATTTACTCACCTAATTTGTGTGTGTGTGTGTGTGTGTGTGTGTGTGTGTGTGTGTGTGTGGTGTGTGGTGTTGTGTGTGTGTTTGGGGTGTGGTGGGGTGTGTGTGTGTGTGTGTGTGTGTACGTACTCACCTAATTGTACTCACCTAATTTTTGGTTGCAGGGGTCCCAAAACTCGGCTCCTGGCCCCGCCTCTTCACTGAATCTACGGGTCCTCTCTCTCCCCGCTCCATAGCTTTATCATACCTCGTCTTAAAGCTATGTATGGTTCCTGCCCCACACTCACTTAAGAACATAAAAACGAAGAAACACTGCAGCAGGCCTACTGGCCCATGCGAGGCAAGTCCAAGTCTCCTACCGGCTTAAGCCAATGCACCCAACCTATCAGGTCAGGTCACATTGACTTAAGGAGGAACACGGCAAACCCACCTGGTAGCACAAGCTATCAGGGCCAACTCACACCCACCCACATCCACTCATGTATTTATCCAACCTATTTTAAAGCTACACAACGTTCTGGCCTCTATAACTGTACTCGGGGGTTTGTTCCACTCATCCACAACTCTATTACCAAACCAGTACTTTCCTATATCCTTCCTGAATCTGAAATTTTTCCAACTTAAAACCATTGCTGCGAGTCCTGTCTAGGGTAGATATTTTCACACACATTTACATCCCCTTTATTTTTTTCCTGTCTTCCATTTATACACCTCAATCATATCCCCCCTAATTCTACGTCTTTCTAGAGAGTGCAGTTTCAGGGCCCTTAGTCTATCCTCATAGGAAGGTTTCTGATACATGGGATCAACTTTGTCCCTCCTCCTTTGTACATTTTCCAGAGAAAATTTTTTATCCATTCTGTAATACGGTGACCAAAACTGTGCAGCAAATCTAAATGAGGCCTAACCAAGGATGTATAGAGTTGAAGAACAACCTGAGGACTCCTATTATTTATGCTTCTTGATATGAAACCAAGGATTCTATTAGCTTTATTGCGAACACTTATGCACTGTTGTCTTGGTTTCAGATTACGCTAACCAGAACTCCTAAATCTTTTTCGCAATCCGTAATATTAATATCTACATTATTTAGTTTATATGTGGCATGGTTATTGTCCTGTCCAACTTTTAGAACTTTGCATTTGTCTATATTAAACTGCATCTGCCACTTCTCCGCCCACTGCATCGGGTCTATTCAAATCTTCCTGGAGTGCTCTAATGTCCTCGTTAGAATGAATTCGACGGCCTATTTTGGTGTCATCGGCAAACTTGCTGATGTCGCTCTTTATCCCCTCATCTATGTCGTTTATGAGATTGTGAACAGCAGGGGCCCAACACTGACCCCTGGGGAACACCGCTCGGGACGCTTCCCCATTCTGATTTCTCCCCATTTATGCAAACTCTGCCTGCCTTTTTTTGCCACCATGCCTCTATCCGGGAAAAAATTTCTCCTATTCCATGTGCCTTAATTTTCCTCAATATCTCTGATGTGGGACCCTGTCAAAAGCCTTACTGAAGTCCATATACACAATATCATATTCATTACCATGATTCTACCTCCTCAAATCCCCTTAGTAAAAAAAAGTTAATAACTTCGTAAGGCAGGAACGCCCCTTTGTAAAACCATGCTGAGATTCGTTGATTAATTTATGCTTTTCAAGGTGGCTACGAACTGCCTCGGCAATTATTGATTCCATAAATTTTCCCACTATGGAGGTTAGGCTTATTGGTCTATAGTTCGAAGCTAAGGACCTGCCACCTGTTTTGAAAATAGGTATCACATTTGTAAGACTATTCCACTTCCTAACTACTCTATGACTGAAGAAATACTTCCTAACATCCCTTTGACTCATCTGAGTCTTCAACTTCCAATTGTGACCCCTTGTTTCTGTGTCCCATCTCTGGAACATCCCTTTTTTGTCCACCTTGTCTATTCCACACAGTATTTGTATGTCGTTATCATGTCTCCCCTGACCCCCCCGTCCTCCAGTGTCGTCAGGCCGATTCCCTCAACCTTTCTTCATAGGACATTCCCCTTACTCTGGAATTAGCATTGTTTTCAAATCTTTGTAGTTTCTCCAATTTCTTGACGTGTTTGACCAGGTGTGGGTTCCAAACTGGAGCTGCGTACTCCAATATGGGCCTGACGTACACAGTGTATAAAGGGCTTGAACGATTCCTTACTGAGGTACCGGAACACTATTCTCAGGGTTTTCCCCAAACGCCCCTATGCTGCAGCATAATCTGGTTAATGTGTGCTTCTGGCGATGTACTCGGTATTATACTCACTCCTAAGTATTTCCCCCTCGAGTGAGGGTTTTCACCCTTTGGCCTCCCAGCCTATATTCTGTCTGCGGTCTTCTTTGCCCCTTTTCTGATCTTCATGACTTTGCATTTGTGGGTTAAATTCTAGGCCAGTTTCTGGACCACACATCCAGCCTGTCCAGGTCTCTTTGTAGACCTTCTGGTCCGCGTCTAGTTTAATTCTCCTCATTAACTTCACATCTGCAAACAGGGACACTCTGAGTCTATCCCTTCCGTCACGTTCGTTCACAATACCAAGAATAGCACGGGTCCCAGACCGACCCCTGTGGGACCTCGCTCGTCCACAGGTGCCACTGGATACCTCTTCAACGGACCATAACTCGCTTTTGCCTCCCTGTCAGATTTTCCCACTGATCTATTGCAGTTCCCTTCTGTTATATTGCCTGATCCTCTAGCTTCCTGTAGTCCAAGAAAATGCAATCAACCCACCCTTTCCCCCTCTCATTTCTTATTTCATTTACCTTGTCATAAACTCTAGTGGGTTTGTGACACAGGATTTACCTTCCATGAATCCGAGCTGGCTGTCGTTTATAATCTTGTTCTGATCCAGGTGTGTGTGTGTTTTGTGTTTAACATAGCCTTCCTCCGTATTGTTTGTCATTTAAATTTAAAACTCTTTCGTGAGAGTAAACACAAGAGAGACAATCTGTTCACGAGTCACTGACTTTTTTGTGTTATTCTATTTGGTAATTAAGACTTTTATAATAATTATATTCATGTGTAACTGTGCCTTAATAAACTTACCCTGTACACATCTTACCTCCCAAGTCACAGCATCGCTGACTACTTGTAACAAGCACCATCGTAGCTGACGTCGTCAGCGTTGGGTGTCACACACTGGTAGTGCAGTGTGTGTCAATATACCTGCATCTGTAGCAAACACACCATAACATTATCATTATTTTGATTATGATTATCATTATCATTATGATTACGATTTTTATCATTATAATTTTTATTACTACTAGAAATAGATCACACTCACCCACTGGTCTCTGACACACTAACCATTCAAGGTCTTACACTCCACGTCATTCCACATACCAGCTTGGTTACGGGAGTTCAGGATCTCCACACAGTCTTCCCCTACGTTGTTTTCACGCTGTAGACACCAACATCATGGGGCAAGCATTAATGGGGTGTCAGCAAGCCTATTACAGAGGATATGCCAACGTGTGTGCTGAATAATAATGAATCGTGGCAGAGAGTAGAAAGGGTAGGTGGTAGGCTCTGTGGGCCCCTGAGATATATCTGAAAGCTACTGGTGGGGGGAAGGGTAAGGTTGCTTTGGTCTAACAGATAAAGGCCCAGTACTAGAAATAGAAATAATATTTATTTAATACAAGTACATGTACAAGGTATACAAGTACATGTACAATGTATACAAGTACATGTACAAGGTATACAAGTGCAAAGTACAAGGTATACAAGTGCATTACAAGGAAAACAAGTACATGTACAAGGTATACAAGTAAAATGTACAAGGTATACAAGTACATGTACAAGGTATACAAGTACATGTACAAGGTATACAAGTACATGTACAAGGTATACAGACCATACCTGATATCAGTGACATACTACTATATAGAAAGTCCCTTGTTATGCTGAGCATTTCCCGCAAATTAGGTCAATTTTGTCCCCAGGATGCGACCCACACCAGTCCACTAACACCCAGGATGCCACCCACACCAGTCCACTAACACCCAGGATGCCACCCACACCAGTCCACTAACACCCAGGATGCCACCCACACCAGTCCACTAACACCCAGGATGCGACCCACACCAGTCCACTAACACCCAGGATGTGACCCACACCAGTCCACTAACACCCAGGATGCCACCCACACCAGTCCACTAACACCCGGATGCGACCCACACCAGTCCACTAACACCCAGGATGTGACCCACATCGTCCCCCTAACACCCAGGATGCGACCCACACCAGTCCACTAACCACCAGGATGTGACCCACATCAGTTCACTAACAAACCCCGATGCGACCCACACAAGTCCACTAACACCCAAAAGGGCCCACCCAGTCCACAACACCCCGGATTGACCCACACCCCCACTAACACCCGGATGGACCCCACCAGTCCACTAACACCCCGGATGCACCACACCAGCCATAACACCCCGGGTGTGACCCCACCAGTCCCCTAAAACTCAGGATGGACCCACACCAGTCCAAACACCCCGGGTGTGACCCACACCGCCACAACACCAGGGGTTTACCCACACCATCCCCTAACACCCAGGTGCCCCCCACACCATCCCCTAACACCCAGATCCCCCCCACACCAGTCCCCTAACACCCAGGGGTTTACCCACACCCGTCCACTAACACCCGGGTGTGACCCACACCATCCCCTAAAACCCAGGATTGACCCACACCAGTCCCTAACAAACGGGTGGACCCCCCCCATCCACAACACCCAGGTTTTGACCCACATCATCCACAACACCCAGATGTGACCCCATCAGTCCACAAAAACCCAGGATCACCCACACCCTCCACAACACCCCGGATGTGACCCACATCAGTTTACTAAAACCCAGGGGCACCCACACAAGCCACTAACACCCAGAATGTGACCCACACCATCCACTAAAACCCAGGATGTCCCCACCAGTCCACTAACACCCAGGGTCGACCCCCACCCCCACTAACCCCAGGGTATGACCCCACCATCCACAACACCCAATTG